CCCTGCAGGGAGCATGGGGTGCCATAGCCCTGCCAAGGGCCCTGTGTCTGGCCCTCTGAGTGGCTTAGGAGGAGCTGGTGGGATTGGGTCCTCCTGTTCCTGATGCCTGGCTCAGGGGCTCTGATGCTGGGACAAGCCCATGAGCTGGCCTGGCCCCTTGTAAGGGCTGTCACTCGTGGTCAGCAGGCTGTAGGGGTGGCAGGTCCCAGAATGTATGGCTCCCTGCTGGGCTTGGCTCTCAGAATCCCTTTCCTGGAGACCTAGGTGCCCAGGGAGAAGGGCAGGAGGGTGGGGCCACTGCCACACCAGATGACCTCGTGTACCAAGCGGAAGACAGGAACACCTGGTCCCACCTGAGCAGGACAGTCAATGTGGGGGTGGGAGATGGGGTGGAGGCAGTGGGAGCCATGCTCTCCCTCATCAGCAACCCCCACCCTCAAAAGCATCCCACTCCAGGAGGATTGAATTGATGATTAGACACTGGCTCATACTTTCCCCAGTGAAAGGTTCTCGACTCAGCAAGGACCTCAATTAGGAGTGGGCACACTTTCTTTTAAAGGGCCTGTAATCCTGAGCGAGTGCAGGGTCCTTGCTGGGTGCCTGGTGGCCCTAGGTGCCCTGTCTTTATCTAAGGAGGCCTTTTCTATGCTCCCTCTGCCTCCTCCCCTATCTTTCCACCCCCACACTGACTGTCCCTGCTCAGGGGGCCAGATGTTCCCTTCTTTCGCTTGGTACACGAGGTCATCTGGTGCGGTGGCCCCATCCTCCTGCCCTTCTCCCTTGAGGCAGAACCTGCCACCCTGCTTTCCCAGACACTAGGTGACCCAGCCCTTCCCCCCATTTACATCCTTCCCTTGGATTTTCTAAGTAGGATTGTCAGCCCTCCACATCCTCGGTGGTATGCATGGCTCCCCTCAGAATCTCCCACCCCAACAGCATGTCCCTAATTCCCTTCCTCCAGCCACCTCCTGGACCTCTCTGGGCTGTTTTCACTTTTCCCTGAGGTTCTGGGAAGTCAGCCCAGCCAGGCCTCCCTCTGCAGCACCACTGGTGAGACACTAGGGATGGGGTTTGTTATGGGTTGAGTTGTGTCTCCAAATAAATGGATATGTTGAAGCTCTGACCCATAAGATCTCAGAATGTGCCCTTGTTTGGAAGTAGAGTTTTGAAGATGTCATCAAGTGAAGACAAGGTCACGCTGGAGTAGGGTGAGCCTCTGATCCAATGTGGCTGGTGTCTGTATGCAAAGGGGAAGTCTAGACACAGACACGCACACAGGCAGAATGCCATGTGGAGGTGAAGACAGAGACAGGGGAGCAGTTTCTGAAAGCCAAGGAACACCAGAGATTCCCAGCAAACCAACAAAAGCCAGGACAGACACCTGGAACAGGTTTTCCCTGCCAACCCAGAGGAGCCAACCCTGCCCACAGCTTGATCTCAGGCACCTGGCCTCCAGGACCAGGAGAGAATACATTTCTGTTGTTTGAGCCATGCGGTTGTGGTACTTTGTTACAATAGCTCCTAAGAAACTAACACAGATTTTGGCTTTAGAAGTAGGGTGCTGATTTAATTGATACCTCAAACTGTGGAACTGAATTTGGGACAGGGTAATGTGTAGAGGCAAGAAGAGTTTTGAGGTGCATGTTAGAAAAAACCTAGATTTCCTTGAAGATTACTGGTAGAAATTCAAGATGATCCTGGTGGGGGCTCAGAAGGAGAAGAGCTGTAGAGAAAACTCCTGTCATCTTAGAGAATACATAAATTGTCATGAACAGAATGTTGCTAGAAATGTGAATGTTAAAGGTGCCTCTGGTGAGGCCCCAGACAGAAATGAGGAACATGTTATTAAAAACTGGAGGAAAGGGGACCCTTATGATAAAGTAGCAAAGCACTTGGCTGAATCACATTCTCTTCATGGTAAGTAAGACTTACAAGTGGTGAACTTGGATGTTTGGCTAAGGAGATTTCTACGAAAAGTGTTGAAGGCACAACCTGATTTCTCCTGACTGCTTATAGTAACATGTGAGAGGAGACAGATCCATTGAAGAAGGAAGTGTTCAGTAAACAGGATCTACAACTTGAACAGCTGGAGAATCCTCTGCCTGTCCGATAGTGCGTCTGGTTGGGAAGTTCTCCACATGTCCAGGAGTGTGCTTGGGAAAGAAGGCCAAGGAGGTGTCTGGGCAACCATTTGTGAAAGAGAATGGATATGTGACTTGTGGATCCAATCAACCATCTCAGCAGAAACCAGGAATAGAGAGGAGGTTATTGAGGAAATAACTGTGCAGGGCTTTCTTGTCTGATGACTCAAACCTCCACGAATTTCATGGGAAGCTCAGAAGGATTTTGTGGATCATAAAACAGCAGAAACAATGCCAGCTTGGATGGAAGGGGAAAGAGACCAGAAAAAATGAAGGAAAGGTGACTCTGAGATTAGAGCCAAGGATGAGGAGGCTGTGGGGGCTTTGGCCATCATGGGTCCAGAATGTGGGGTCACCCCAGTGGGCCTGGAAGATGGACTATTGACCCAGGAAGATGAATCTTGAGCCTTAAATCTAATGCAGTTTTCCCTGCTGGGTTCTGGGCTTGCTTGGGCCCACGGCTCCCCTCTCCCTTCCGATGTATCCTTTTTGGAATGGGAATATCTGTCCTACGCCTGTCCCACCACTGCACTTTGGAAGCAGAGAATTTCTTGTGCAGTTTCAAAGGTCCGCAGATGGAGAGGAATTTCACCCCAGAATGAAGCTCACCCTGGGTTTTGCCCACACTGGATGCAGGTGGCATTTAGATGAGACTTTGGACTAAGAGTTGGTGCAGGAATGGGTTAGCCATCTTGGAGATGTTAGTATGGGACACAGGAACTGTGTGTGTGAGACGCACATGATTATGGGGGACCAGAGGGCAAACTGTCATGGGTTAAAATGTGTCCCCTGTAAATTCACATGTTGAAGTCTTAACTCCCAGGACCTCAGAATGTGACCCTGTTTGGAAACAGAGTCTGCAGATGTCATCAAGTTCAGATGGGGTCACCCTGGAGTAGGACGAGCCTCTGATCCGATATGACACCGTCCTCATCCAAAGAGGGAATTGGGGCACAGACAGCACATGGGGGAGCACCCTTGAAGACAGCGCTGCTCCCACAAGCCAAGAGCGGCAGAGATGGCGGCAAAGCCCCAGCAGCCAGGAGAGAGCCGGGACAGAGTCTCCCGTGACACAGAGGAGCCCGCCCCGCCGATGCCTCCCTCCCTGCTGCCAGCCTCCAGAGCCAGGACGGAATACACTTCTGTTGCCCTGGGCAGTGCGGGGCCCCTCAGTCTGTCCTCCCCCAGCCCTGGGAGGCTGAGCCTGTGAGGAACTCCATGTAACCAAGGCAGAGCCAGAGCCGGAGGCTGGGAGCCGACTGGGAGCCTGTGGCTGGAGGATGGGTTTCCCCCAGGACCCACAGGTGCACCTCCACCTGTCTCCTGGATATTCTCTCCGAGGGCATGGCTGCTGCCAGCTCAGGGATCCAGCAGGGACCCAAGGTTGGGCTGTGTCCTTGGGGAGAGCACATTTAGTGGGAGGGACACAACTTGCACCCAGCAGCCCCCAGTTGCCCATGACAGCTGGCTCAGAGCAAGTGCCAGGCTGCTCCCCAGAACCTGAAGTGGCCTCCTTCCAGGCTCCCTGCTTGTGCACCCTCCCAAGACGCCATCCTGGGTGCTCCTCCAGGGCACTTCTTTGACCCTGTGGTCTGCCCAGTCCTTCCAGCCTGGTCCTCTCCCCTCCCCACCTGCCTCCACCCTGGTCTCACAGCCACTGCTGGCCTTGACTTTGCCATGGCCTGTGGGTCACCCCTGGCTGACTGCACCATGGCCAGGTGAGCCTCCTGTCATGAGTCCCCAACCCCTGCTCTTTGACTCCACCCTCACCTCCTTGGCAGTCACTTTTCCTCCACCATTTGTTGTCCTGGCTGCCACCTGCTCATCTTCAGGGAGATGGCAGAGACCCGCCCTTTCCATCATGCATTCCCTGACAGCTTCTATGGGTGATACAGTCACGCTTCCCACCCCTCAGTCCTCCCTTGCAAGGGGATAGCATTGGAGGCCTGAGAGTCTGTGAGGTGATGAGGCCCTCATCATGGGCTTAGTGCCGTATGAAAGAGACCCTGAGACCCTGAGAGCTCCTTTACCCTCTTCTGCTGCACGAGGGTGCAGTGAGAAGGCATGTCTCTGAGCCGGGAATTGGCCCTCACCAGACACTGAAGTTGCTGGTGCCTTAGACTTCCACCCTCCAGAGCTGTGGGAGGCAAGTGTCTGTTGCTCAAGCCTTCCAGCCCATGGTGTCTTGTGAGAGCAGCACAACTAGACTAAGACACTGGTTCACCTGAAACTTTTGCTCCAACTTCCACAGCCCTGCCGTGGCATGGCTGCAGCACCCCCACCCCAGTTCTCCTGCCAGGTGCAGTGCTCCTGCGGAGTGCAGTGCTTCTGCGGAAGGCAGTGCTCCTGTGGAGGGCAGTGCTCCTGCGGAGGGCAGTGCTCCTGCCGAGTGTGACACCCCCACGCTGTGCAGACAGGGCCACCGCTCTCGAGGGCTCAACCCTCTCCTCCTGGATCCTGGTGGCATACGCCACACATCACAAAGGTTTGGGGCAAGGCCGAGGACTGGCTGGGCTTGCTGGGAATAGCGGAAAGTGGCCCAGGCAGTTGTAGGTAGGTGGGGCACACACTGAGGCCCCCGAGGCCTAAGCCCTGCATCCCAGTTCAGGTCATGCTTGGGAGACCAGGCCTGGAACCGTCTCCTGCTCAGTTGCCCTCCTTCCATCAGGCTGCGCACTCCCCAGTCTGAGTCTGGGCTGCCTGCTGCTGTGGCCCCTGACCTGGGCACATGGCCTTAAAGCTCCTGTGCTGGCTCAGCTCTCTTTCCCATGGCTCCCTTTGGAATTGGGGTCCTCCCTTGAGAGGCCCATGTAGCACGAAAGGTTTGAAAGAGAAACAAAATCCCTCATGAGAAAGCTATTTCATGGATAAAATGTGCATGTTTATTTCAGGGCAACAAGCCTATACACAGCAAAGCAGCGTGGGTAGAGCCAACGTGGTGGCCTGCTCGCCAGCCAGCCCCTGCCCGTCTAGAAGGAAGCCTGTGTTGGAGCACACAGCTGGAGGCCAGGCGGGAAGAGAAACACGCGCCAAGGGCCATGAGGACAGGGACCCCAGGCCTGGAGCAGCGCCCCTTGAGTTCCTCTCTGGTCTTCGTTCTTCAGTTGGGATCATTTGACCTGTGGGAAACAGAGACGGTGTGAAGCACTTTCTCCCTGGTTGGGAAGGGAGCCAGGCAGAGGTGACCCAGTGGGCTGGTGGGAGCCTCCGTGATGAACATCCAGCCCCGGCTGCTCCCTGGGCCCCACGCCCCCCCGTGTCCTATCTGTGCTACCTTGAACAGGGTGACGGTTGTACTGTAGAAGAGGCTCAGGAGGAAGAGGACGATGAAGGTGGAGGCGGTGGCCCACAGGTTCTCAAAGCCCTCCTCGTCGGCGCTCACCTCCCCCTCTGCAGGGAACACAGCACGGGACGGGGTAGGGTCAGGCTGGGGTGGCACCCAGCAAAGACGGACCCTGGGGCCCCTCCTCTAAGCCCACCCTTGGCCCCTAGGCTGTGCTGTGCCCAGGGGTGGGGAGAGCCAGTGGAGGGGTTCAGGCACTGTCCAAGGCATGGGCTGGGTCCCCAACAGCCTGATGCAGGGGGGCACAGGCTGAGGCTGGGCAGGGCAGGGACCCCGCAGTCTTCTCCCAGGAGCCCTGGGGTGGCTGAGATAGTGCAGGCAGCACACAGACACAAGGCGGGGGCCGGACGTCGGGGCCAGCAGAGCAGCTGCCAGCATGTCCTGACTCTCCTGCAGGGGAAGCAGGGGGTGTGGTCCTGTCCTGCGCTGTGGAGCTACGCAGGCAGGAGGCCTGAGCTGGGAGGTGCCTGCTCCTCACCTCCTTACCTCCTCCTCGGGGCCCTGGCTCTCCAGCCCCCCACAGAGCAGAGTGCACCCTGGCTGACTTGTCCTGCCCTGTCAAGACCCAGACAGAGACCTGAGCTCCACAGTGGGCTGAGGATATTTGGGGGTGCTGCATCCCCTGCACAGACAGGCCCTTGGGGGACACCTGGAGCCCAGGACTCCAAAGGGCCAAGACCGTGTGTGGGGACTCAGAGGTGGCCCCAGTTAGGGACAGCACTGTCTGTTGGGTGTGGAGACCTGACTTGGGTCCCTGCCTGGGCTCCATCCTCCCTGGGCTGCTGCAGTGGGACCTGGCTTGCTCCCTGCTCTGGGCTGGGGCAAGTGGTGTGTGCAGGGCAGCCTTGTGCCAGCTCATCTCCAGAGGCCTTCTGCTAAGAGGAGCAGCCGCCAGGCAGCCACCCTGCCCCTGGACACATGTTCGGTCACTGCCTGAGCACATGGCACGGGCCCTGGTTCTGCTCCCGAGCATGTGTGGGAGCCATCTGCTGCTTTCCTCAAGAGCCTGGCCTCAGGGGGTTCACACATGTGGGAGCCACCAGCTGCCTTCCTCAAGAGCCTGGCCTCAGTGGTTCACACATGTAGGAGTCACCTGCTGCCTTCCTCAAGAGCCTGGCCTTGGGAGGGTCACACTATCCCTGGGGCCGCTGCTCCCCAGGCAGAGTCCAAGCTGGGTGCCATGGTGGCACCTCCAAGCAGAGACAGAGGAGAGGCAAAGCCTGGGCCCGAAGCCCCTGGGGGGCCAGGACAGCGCAGGGAGCAAAGTGCTGCAGAGACAGAGCATCCGAGACAGGGCAGCGGGAGAACGTGGGCGGGGCTGGCTGGCATGGGTTTGTGTGTGTGTGGGTGTGTGCATGTTTGTGTGCGCATGTCCATCTATCTGTTGTGTGTCTTTGTGTAGACGTGTGGGTGTCTACATGTTAGCATGTGTGCATGCTCCTGTGTGTGTGTGTGTGCACGTGTCCATGTACTTGTGTCTGTTTTTTGTGTGTGCATGTATCTGTTTGTGAATGTGTGTGTGTCTGTGCCTGTCTGTGGGTGTATGCCTCTGTGCTAGTGTATCTGTGTGTGTGCATGTCGTGCATGTGTGTGTTCATGTGTATGTATCCATGATGTGTCTGTGTGTCCATGTGTGTCTGTGTGTAACCCCGTGTGTGTCCATGTGTGTCTGTGTGTATCCCCGTGTGTGTCCATGTGTGTCTGTATGTGTCCATGATGTGTGTGTCTGTGTGTGTGTCATGATGTGTATGTCCATGTGTGTGTCATGTGTCTCTGTGTGTCCATGATGTGTCCATGTGTGTGTCTGTGTCCATGATGTGTCCATGATGTGTGTCCATGTGTGTGTGTCCGTGTGTCCATGTGTGTGTCTGTGTCCATGTGTCCATGATGTGTATGTCCATGTGTCTGTGTGTCTGTGTGTCCATGTATGTGTCCATTTGTGTGTTCATGTGTGCCTGTAGACAGTGTGTGCCATCTTTGTGTGCCTGGGCATGTTTGCACGTGTGTCTGTGTGTCTGTGTATGTGTGTGTGTGCGCACCCACGGGTTAGCACATCTCTGTGTGTTCATATCTGTGTGTGTGTCCATGTCTGCGTGTGTGTGCACTCATGGGTTAGCACATTTCTGTGCCATGTGTCTGTGTGTGTGTCTATGTTTCTGTGTGTTTGTGTCCATGGGTTAGCACGTCTCTGTCCCTGTATCTATGTGTGCCTGTGTTTCTGTGTGTGTGTGTCCATGGGTTAGCACGTCTCTGTGTGTCCCTGTGTGTCTGTATGTGTCCATGTTTCTGTGTGTGTGTGTGTGCCCACGGGTTAGCATGTCTCTGTGTGTCCCTGTGTGTCTGTGTGTGTCCGTCTGTCCACGTGTGTCCACACATGTGCATGTGTGCTGCCTGTGTTTGTGTGGCCTTGCTCTCAGCCCTGTTTCAAGAAGCAGTAGGAGGAATGGCGAGTGTGAGGTCAGCCTGCAGTGAGCATCTGCTGGGTGTTTGGGGCTTCCAGAAGCCACTGAGGCACACAGGTGGGTGAGGCAGGGTGGGGGCTGTGGAGGAAGGTGGTCTGCAGGGGAGGTGCAGCAGGCCAGAGCATCGCGCACTCAGGACCAGTATCTTTTGAATGGATCTTTTTATTTTTAGTTTTTAAAGATGCAACATCTCACCCGATTGACACGTTAGTTTGCGCGCACACACAGAGCGGCCGGCCGCCCTGAGCCCATGGGCAGGCCGGCAGGGTCAGTAGCAGGTGCCAGCTGTGTCGGACATGACTAGGGACACGTTGTACAGGGTGGGTTTACCGGTGGACTTGTCCACGGTCCTCTCGGTGACCCTGTTGGGCAGGGCCTCGTGGCCCACGACACAGGTGTAGCTCTCCCCTGCGCTCCAGTCCTCCTCGGACACTGTCAGGGTGCTGTAGGCGAAGTACAGGCCCGGGGCTTGGGGCTCGGGCACTGGGGCACTGGTCACATACTTCTCCTGGGGCAGAGGCTGTCCCCTCTGCATCCACTGCACGAAGATGTCCGCGGGAGAGAAGCCGGTTGCCAGGCAGGTGACGGTTGCCGACTCCCGCAGGCTCAGCTGCTCCCGGGCTGGTGGCAGCAAATAGACTTCGGGCCTGTGCAGGGCTGCCCCTGTGGACAGAGACGGTGGTGAGTAAGGGCCTGAGGGGCGCTCTTCACCATGCCCCCGAGGCTGAGGGTGGGTGCTGTGGAGTGCAGGACCAGGGGCTGGGCAGGGGCCTACCCTTGGGCCTGGAGATGCTCTGCTTCAGCGGCGAGGGCAGGTCCGTGTGTGTCACGGTGCAGGTGAACCTCTCCCCGGAGTTCCAGTCGTCCTCACAGATGCTGGCCACACCTGTGGCACTGAAGGTGGCATTGGGGTGGCTCTCGGAGATGTTGGTGTGGGTCTTCAGAACTTCGCCGTTCTGGCGGGTCCAGGAGATGGTCACGCTGTCATAGGTGGCCAGGTCTGTGACCAGGCAGGTCAACCTTGTGGACTTGGTGAGGAAAATGCTGGCAAAGGATGGAGGGATGGCAAAGACCCGGATGCCTGTGGCTGGATCTGGAGTCAAGAGAAAGGTGTCAGAGGTGGAGCAGGTGTGGATGCGGGTGGAGGCACGGCTCCCACCCAGAGACTAGCACCCGCCTCTGCCCAGCCTAGGGCCCCCGTGCCCAAGCCCCTGCCCTTGACTGCTCTGGGAAGCCAAGGCTCAGGGAGCGGGTGGCTGCATCTGGGGTGGCGAATGCCAGACCCAAGTGGACCCCCATGTGTCTGTGGGCGCTGCCCTTGGGGACAGGGTACTCACTGATGCTGCATGTGGAGGACACGTTCTTCTGGAAGGCCAGGCCGCTGTGATCCACGCGGCAGGTGAACACGCTCTGGCTGAGCCAGTCTTTCTCGGCGATGGTCAGTGTGCTGGTCACCTTGAAGGTCGTGGGCCCAGACTCTTTGGCCTCAGCCTCCACCTGGCTGGTGGTGAAGCCAGACTCCAGCTTTTTCCCATCCTGCAGCCAGGACACCTTGATCTGCCGGGGGCTGAAGCCCGTGGCCTGGCAGATGAGCTTGGACGTGCGGGGGTTGCCGGCGAAGGCGTCGCGGGGCGGGATGAAGACACTGACGCTGGGCGGCAGCTCCTGGAACACTGCAGCGAGGGACACGGGTCAGCCGGGGCCCACTCCCACCCTTCCTGCACCCGGGGCTGGGGGGAGCCTGGCCCTCACCTGGAAGAGGCACATTCTTTTCCTGGTTGCCTTTGGGGTGCTGGACTTTGCACACCACGTGGTCGTCCCTGCCCTGCATGAGGTCTCTGGAAGGCAGCAGCACCTGCGAGGTGGCCATGTACTTGCCCTCTCTCAGCTGTGACCTGAAGCCTTGGATGCTGCTGATGTCAGAGTTGTTCTGGTATTTCCAGGAGAAAGTGATGGAGTCGGGCAGGAAGTCCCGCGCCAGGCAGCCAACGGACACTGTGCTTGTATCCAACGGGCCATTCTCACAGGAGACGAGGGGGTAGAGGGCTGGGGCGGACGCAGTCCCTGAGGACCCGCAGGGCAAAACAGAAAGGGAAGGGTGAGGCGCAGTCTCCTCGCGCCCTGTCTGTCACTGCTGAGCGGCGTTCTGAGTGGCCTCTCCCTACTTGCATCCCACTGTGGCTGCCCCACCAAGGCCGAGCCCACCTGCAGGCCTCCAGAGCCCAGATGGCCATGGCTAACAGGGTGGTAGGGCCGTGGCGAGGCTTCGGATCTTTGTCCAAGGCTGCTGGGGCTGCACGCCTCAGCCTGTGCTGCTGCAGGGTCCAGCGCTGACCACCAGGGCCAACCTAGGGTCTTCTGGAGCAGGCCTAGCCGCATCTGCCACCATTCATCTGGCTGCCCTGCTGTGCTCGAGGCCTGCCTGCCCTTGGCTCCCTGTGCAGAATGGCCGAGGGCTCAGGCTTGGGTGGTCTAGGCCTGCTTTCCCCTGAGGCATCAGCAGAGAGGTGCCACACACTCGGCTCCCAGCACACAGGCTGGAGGGCCCAGGCTGCATTCCCGAATGTGAAGCCTGGAGCCACGCAGCACACAGGCAGGCAACAGGAAGCGGGTATCCCAGCCCAGCCTCTGCTGCCCCAGCACAGTCACACTCCAGCTATCCTGGAGTCTCCCCACGAAGACAACCCCGTTCTGCGGGTGTGTGTAGGGAGGGCGGGAGTGATGGGGAATGCAGTGTGGACTCAGCTGAGGCTATCCACCTAAGTCCAACAAGGTCATGAAGACTGGCCCAGTACCATGTCCTCCAGTTCATCCCAGCCCAGCCCAGCTCTATCCAGCCCAGCCCAGCTCAGCAAAGCCAAGCTCAGCCAGCTCAACACAGATGAACTGAGATCAATTAACCCCAGCCCTGCTGAGCTCACATCATCTAAGACCATCTCAGTTCAACCCAGCCAAGCCCAGCACAGCTAAGCCTGGTTCAGCACAGCCTAGTTCAGCCCAGAACAGCTCAACCCAGCTCAGCACAGATCAGCCCAGCTCAGCCCTGCCCAGCCCAGGTCAGCTCAACTCAACTAAACCCAGCCCAGCTCAGCTTAGGTTAGGTTAGGTCAGCACAGCCCAGCATAGCCTAGCCCAGCCCAGCCTAGCCCAGCTCAGCCCAGCCCAGCCCAGCACAACCCAGCTCAGCCCAGCCCAGCCCAGCCCAGCCTAGCTAACCCAGCCCCGCCCAGCTCAGCTCAAATCAGCTTAGCCCAGGTTAGCCCAGGTCACCCCAGGTCAGCCCAGCTCAACCCAACCCAGCTCATCCCAGCTAAGCTCAACCCAATCCAACTCAGCTCAACTTAGCCTAGCTCAGCCCAGCCCAGCTCAGCTCAGCTCAGTCCAGCTTAGTTCAGCTCAGCTCAATCCAGCCCTGCCCAGCCCTGCCCAGCCCAGCCCAGCCCATCCCAGTCCAGCCCAGCCCAGCCCAGCCCAGTCCAGCCCAGCTCAGCCCAGCTCAGCTCAACCCAACCCAGCTCAGCTCAGCTCGGCTCAGCTCAACCCAACCCAGCTCAACCTAGCTCAGCCTAGCTTAGCCCAGCTCAACTCAGCACAGCTCAGCTCAGCTCAGCCCAGCTCAACACAACCCAGCTCAGCTCAGCTTGGTTCAGCTCAACCTAACCCACCTCAGCTCAGCCCGGCTCAGCTCAGCTCAGTCCAGCTCAGCTCAACCCAGGTCATCCCAGCCCAGCCCAGCTCAGCTAAGCTCAGCACAGCTCAGTACAGCCCAGCCCAGCCCAGCTCAACCCAGTCCAGCTCAGCTCAGCTCAGCTCAGCTCAGCTCAACCCAGCTCAGCCTGGCTCAGCTCAACCCAACCCAGCTCAGTTCAGCCCGGACCAACTCACATCAGCCCAGCTCAGCTCATCCCAGCTCAGCTCAACACAGCCCAGCTCATTTCATCTCAGCCTAGCCCAGCCCAGCTCAGCTCAGCCCAGCTCAGGTCAGCCCAGCTCAGCTCAGCTCAGCTCAGCTCAGTCCAGCTCAGCCCAGCTCAGCTCAGCCCAGCCCAGCTCATCCCAGCTCAGCTCAACACAGCCCAGCTCATTTCATCTCAGCCTAGCCCAGCCCAGCTCAGCTCAGCCCAGCTCAGCTCAGCTCAGCTCAGTCCAGCTCAGCTCAGCTCAGCCCAGCTCATCCCAGCTCAGCCAAGCCCAGCTCATCCCAGCTCAGCTCAGCCCAGCCCAGCCCAGACCAGCTCAGCCCAGCTCAGCTCTACCCAGCTCAGCTCAGCTCAGCCCAGCCCATCCCAGCTCAACCCAACCCAGCTCAGCTCAGCTCAGCTCAGCTCAGCTCAACCCAACCCAGCTCAGCTCAGCTCAGCTCAGCTCAGCTCAGCTCAGCTCAACCCAACCCAGCTCAGCTCAGCTCAGCTCAGCTCAACCCAACCCAGCTCATCCCAGCTCATCCCAGCTCAGCCCAGCTCAGCCTGGTTCAACCCATCCCATCCCAGGTCAGCTCAGCCCAGCTCAGCTCATCCCAGCTCATCCCAGCTCATCCCAGCTCAGCCCAGCCCAGCTCAGCTCAGCCCAGCTCATCCCAGCTCAGCCCAGCCCATCCCAGGTCAGCTCAGCCCAGCCCAGCCCAGCCCAGCTCAGCCCAGCTCACCCCAGCTCATCCCAGCTCATCCCAGCTCATCCCAGCCCATCCCGGGTCAGCTCAGCCCAGCTCAGCCCAGCCCAGCTCATCCCAGCTCAACCCAGCTCAGCCCAGCACAGCTCAGCTCAGCCCAGCTCAGCCCAGCCCAGCTCAGCTCAGCCCAGCTCAGTACAGCACAGCTCATCCTAGCTCAGCTCAACCCAGCTCAGCCCAGCCCAGCTCAGCTCAGCCCAGCTCAGTACAGCACAGCTCATCCTAGCTCAGCTCAACCCAGCCCAGCCCAGCTCAGCCCGGCTCAGCTCAACCCAACCCAGCTCGGCTCGGCTCAGCTCGGCTCAGCTCAGCTCAGCCTGGCTCAACCCAGCCCATCCCAGCCCAGCTCAGCCCAGCTCAGCCCAGGTCAGCTCATCCCAGCTCAGCCCAGCCCAGCTCATCCCAGCTCATCCCAGCTAAGCCCAGCCCAGCCCATCCCAGCCCAGCTCAGCCCAGCTCAGTCCAGGCCAGCTCAGCCAGCTCAGCTCAGCTCAGCTCAGCCCAGCCCAGCTCAGCTCAGCCCGGCTCAGCTCAGCCCAGCTCAGCTCAGCCCAGCTCAGCCCATCCCAGGTCAGGTCATCCCAGCTCAGCTCAACCCAGCCCAGCCCAGCCCAGCTCAGCTCAGCTCAGCTCAGCTCGGCTCGGCTCGGCTCGGCTCAGCTCCGCTCAGCTCAGCTCAGCCTGGCTCAACCCAGCCCATCCCAGCCCAGCTCAGCCCAGCTCAGCCCAGGTCAGCTCATCCCAGCTCAGCCCAGCCCAGCTCATCCCAGCTCATCCCAGCTCAGCCCAGCCCAGCCCAGCCCATCCCAGCCCAGCTCAGCCCAGCTCAGTCCAGGCCAGCTCAGCCAGCTCAGCTCAGCCCAGCTCAGCTCAGCCCAGCTCAGCCCATCCCAGCTCAGCTCATCCCAGCTCAGCTCAACCCAGCCCAGCCCAGCCCAGCTCAGCTCGGCTCAGCTCGGCTCGGCTCAGCTCGGCTCAGCTCAGCTCAGCCTGGCTCAACCCAGCCCATCCCAGCCCAGCTCAGCCCAGCTCAGCCCAGGTCAGCTCATCCCAGCTCAGCCCAGCCCAGCTCATCCCAGCTCAGCCCAGCTCTGCCCAGCCCAGCCCAGCCCAGCTCATCCCAGCTCAGCCCAGCTCAGCCCAGCCCAGCCCAGCTCCGCTAATCCCAGCTCAGTCCAGGCCAGCTCAGCCAGCTCAGCTCAGCTCAGCTCATCCCAGCTCAGCTCATCCCAGCTCAGCTCAGCCCAGCTCAGTCCAGCACAGCTCATCCCAGCCCAGCTCAGCCCAGCCCAGCCCAGCCCAGCTCAGCCCGGCTCAGCTCAACCCAACCCGGCTCAGCTCGGCTCGGCTCAGCTCGACTCGGCTCGGCTCAGCTCGGCTCAGCTCAGCTCAGCCTGGCTCAACCCAGCCCATCCCAGCCCAGCTCAGCCCAGCTCAGCCCAGGTCAGCTCATCCCAGCTCAGCCCAGCCCAGCTCATCCCAGCTCAGCCCAGCTCAGCCCAGCCCAGCCCAGCCCATCCCAGCCCAGCTCAGCCCAGCTCAGTCCAGGCCAGCTCAGCCAGCTCAGCTCAGCCCAGCTCAGCTCAGCCCGGCTCAGCTCAGCCCAGCTCAGCTCAGCCCAGCTCAGCCCATCCCAGCTCAGCTCATCCCAGCTCAGCTCAACCCAGCCCAGCCCAGCCCAGCTCAGCTCGGCTCAGCTCGGCTCGGCTCGGCTCGGCTCAGCTCAGCTCAGCCTGGCTCAACCCAGCCCATCCCAGCCCAGCTCAGCCCAGCTCAGCCCAGGTCAGCTCATCCCAGCTCAGCCCAGCCCAGCTCATCCCAGCTCAGCCCAGCTCTGCCCAGCCCAGCCCAGCCCAGCTCATCCCAGCTCAGCCCAGCTCAGCCCAGCCCAGCCCAGCTCCGCTAATCCCAGCTCAGTCCAGGCCAGCTCAGCCAGCTCAGCTCAGCTCAGCTCATCCCAGCTCAGCTCATCCCAGCTCAGCTCAGCCCAGCTCAGTCCAGCACAGCTCATCCCAGCCCAGCTCAGCCCAGCCCAGCCCAGCCCAGCTCAGCCCGGCTCAGCTCAACCCAACCCGGCTCAGCTCGGCTCGGCTCAGCTCGACTCGGCTCGGCTCAGCTCGGCTCAGCTCAGCTCAGCCTGGCTCAACCCAGCCCATCCCAGCCCAGCTCAGCCCAGCTCAGCCCAGGTCAGCTCATCCCAGCTCAGCCCAGCCCAGCTCATCCCAGCTCAGCCCAGCTCAGCCCAGGTCAGCTCAGCCCAGCCCAGCCCAGCCCAGCCCAGCTCCGCTAATCCCAGCTCAGTCCAGGCCAGCTCAGCCAGCTCAGCTCAGCTCAGCTCAGCCCAGCCCAGCTCAGCTCAGCCCAGCTCAGCTCAGCCCAGCTCAGCCCAGCTCAGCTCAGCCCAGCTCAGCCCATCCCAGGTCAGCTCAGCCCAGCTCAGCTCAGCCCAGCTCAGCCCATCCCAGGTCAGCATCCCAGCTCAGCTCAACCCAGCCCAGCTCAGCCCAGCTCAGCCCAGCTCAGCTCAGCCCAGCTCAGCCCAGCTCAGCCCAGCTCAGCTCAACCCAACCCAGCTCAGCCCAGCTCAGCCCAGCTCAGCTCAGCCCAGCTCAGCCCAGCTCAGCCCAGTTCAGCTCAACCCAACCCAGCTCAGCTCAACTCGGCTCAGCTCAGCTCAGCCTGGCTCAACCCAGCCCATCCCAGCTCAGCTCAGCCCAGCTCAGCCCAGCTCAGCCCAGCTTAGCCCAGCTCAACTCAGCCCATCCCAGCTCAGCGCAACCCAACCCAGCTCAACTCAGCACAGCTCAGCTCAATCTAACCCAGGTCAGCTCAGCTCAGCTCAGCTCACCTCAGCTGGGCCCAGCTCGGCTCAGCCTGGCTCAGCTGGGCCCAGCTCGGCTCAGCCTGGCTCAGCTGGGCCCAGCTCGGCTCAGCCTGGCTCAGCTCGGCCCAGCCTGGCCCAGCTCAGCTCAGCTCAGCCCGGCTCATCCTGGTTCAGCTCAGCTCAGCTGCGCTCATCCTGGTTCAGCTCAGCTCAACCCGGCTCAGCCCAGGTCTGCTCAACTCAGTCCAGCTCAGCTCAGCCCAGCCTACCCTAGCTTGTCCCAGCTCAGCCCAGCACACCCCACTTAAGCCCAGTTCAGCTCAGGTCAGCTCAACAACTCAGCCTAATCCAGCCTGGCTCAGCCTAACTCTGCTTAGCTCAGCCCAGCCCAGCCCAGCCCAGCCCAGCCCAGCTCAGCCCAGCGCAGCACAGCGCAGCCCAGCCTTGCTTAGTCTAGGTTAGCTCATGTCAGTTTTACCCATCCTAGTCCATTTCTGAAAGCTGATGGAATGGTCAGAAATGGTCAGCCTGCCAGACCTGCTTGCCTCAGCTAAAGCCATCTCATTGCCGAGTTCCTGCACAGCTGGGCTGGCTTCCGTCTTTTGTCTCCCTCTACTTGATACTCCAATTTCCTGCAGTCCTACCCCAGCACCACCTGGGTTTTGCTTCCAAAGCAGTACCAAGCATGACCACCCTCCACTACCTGGGTGGAATATTTCTTTGCTTCTTTAAAGTCATTAAAACACCTTGAGAATTAGACCAGAACTTAGGAGCTTGTACTGTATAAAAACGAGCAGTTCCCCTTGCTCTAGAAGCAGCAGCACAGCCTCTGCGCCGAGAGGACAGTACTGGAGATGCTCAGAGCCGCCACCCTTCTGGAGCATCTCCTCCCTCCTGAGTCTGAAATAAGCCCCTGCCTTTGCATTCCCTCTAGATAACAGTCATCATTGGAAACAACCCAGAAATGCATTTTATCTGAATTTGCCACTTAAAATTCTGCCGTTTACCATAAGTCGCTTTGGAAAACATGAGCTACTTTCAAGGGCGCGGTGATGACCTACAGTCTGTGACTTAAACAAGGGCGATGCCAATGAGGCTTGGCATATTCTCCAGCACCATGAACCAGGCCGGCCCCATCCATGGGCTGCAAAGCAACTCATGGGGCCTCTCCTCGAAATGAGCTTCAGAGAAAGTTAAATGTGAGTGACCCAGACAATGGTCACTCAAAGGACTCACACAAATGAGTCTCCTGCTCTTCATCAAGCACTTAAGACCAATTTCCCCACTGGTGGAAATAAGACATCAAATACAAAGTTTGCAGAGAAACAGGTGTGGCAGCGCTGGCTGCCTGTCTCTTACCGTGTCAGGTGTCTGGTCACTGCGAGCCGTGCAAGGCTTTGGCATGGAATAATTCCTCCGAGTCCGTTAACAAGGGCTGGGTCCCGAGCAACCAGTCGGGCTGGTGGCATAAGCCATGCATCCTGGCTCTGGGAGGTCCGTGGAGACCCAAAGCCCAGCCCAGGCCTCGCGGCCACCCTCCTAAAGCCTCGCTAGGCCACTCCTGCTGAGGCCGAACCGGGGATTCCAAACAGAACCTGTCCTTCTGTCTGAGTTTTCTCTTAATCCACCAACTAACATGTTCAACTGAAATAATTCAGGATAATTATGCACATTTCACCTAAAACTTATCCTAAAATAAGTAGCTAAAAAGTGGTCTTAAAAAAATACTAAAATGAAAGCCACTTTTTCAGAGTATCAAAGTGTTTCTCCTTAATCACAAAGAGAAAACAGGTTAACCTAAAAAAAATTGTGAGCGCAGTCATTATAAAAATAATGCTCCGAGGTATTGAAAAAGTGCCTGAGATTAATTATCACATGAAGGGATAATAAACTAATTTAAAAAGCTTTTTGAATATAGTCATAAGTTCTCCCTAAGACTGCTAAATTTATTAAACATCTTACTTTGAAAATGAATGCAGTTTAGAAGTTGGTATGCTGTTTGCACAAACTAGAGTTGATAAGCTAAGACTGGAAATTAAGTTCGGACAGTTAAAAAAAGAGCCTTTCCAGTTTCTGTCAGCCTCACCTTATTTTAGAAACGAAAATGGCCCAGGTGTTGTTTTGCTCAGTGGAGCACTTTCAGATCTGGGCCTGGCAAAACCACCACTTCACACCCAGAAGTGACAGATTTACCAAGTGTGTTTTTTCGCTTCCTAAAATAGACTCTGCGGTGACCTGCTTCCTGCCACCTGCTGTGGGTGCCCGAGACCCTTATGCAGCCGTGTTGACTCTAACTCAGCATCCGCTCCCAGCTTCACTAATTAATTAAAAAAATAAACTTGATTTATGATTGTCAAAACTCAGTCCTGCACGGGGCTGACAGCACTGTGCCAGTATTTCTTAGCTGAACTTGCTCTGGCCTCAGTTCCAGAGAGAGATAATTCATGGGTGTTAATCGAATGATAAGAATTTCAAATACTTGGACAGTTAAAAAAATTAATATACTTGAAAAGCTCTCACATTTTTAAGTCAGAATTTTCTTAAACCATTTTTCTCAGGAGCCATTTCAAACATATCCTGTCTTTTCACATTTAGTAAGCGTGCCTCTTAAGATGAAGAATCCCTTTCTCTTGGAAGCTCGAGCGGCCTCCCTAAGTCCTTGTCAGATCAGCAGCTGCCCTTTCTGGGCTACCCCTGCCCCTGACCCTGCTCTCATCGAGACCACGGCTACGCGTCCCTCTTGGCTGGATTCGCCCACTCTGACAGTTCTCTTTCCAGCCAATAAAGAATTTAAGATGCAGCTTAAATTATTTATTGGCTGGAGATAAAGAATTTATCTCTTTACCTCACACAGCGCACTCGTCATTCTAAAGAAAATATTTCATGTTGGCTGTCTGTGCCATGACCTTTCAGTCCCACTGACACCGCTCCCTCCTGAGACACACTCCTCAGCCATCGCTAAGACCCCAGCACCTCGGCAGAGGCCCCCACAGTGGCCCTCCAGCCATGGAGCCCTGGTTTGCTCTGGCTTCTCATGCAGACGTGGCTCCCCAAGCCCCCAGGCTCAGTTACTCCATCAGACGCACCCAACCTGAGATCCATTTTCTAAAGGCATCAGAAAATCCACGGAAGCTCCGAGATCCCCCAGGCCCCACAGTGCCTGTCCCCTCCTGGCCAGCCCACCCAGGTCCCCTCGGAACTTGTCCTGAGGACCAGCCTGCAATGCTCAGAAAACCCCACAGGCACTAGCAGAAAACAGAGACCCTAGAGTGGCCATTCTTACCTGAGGAGACGGTGACCTCGGTCCCTTGGCCCCAGATATCCATACCGTAGTAATCACAATGGCAGAATGTGCATCCTCACCCCACAAAAACCCTAGGCGCCCAGCTCGCATTGCTCGCAGCCACCCAGAGACCCAGGTATCACATGGAAGCTGACTGTCTATGCCCCTGTCCTGGCTCTTCTCATGGAACCCTCTGCTGGCCTCCCACAGACCCCGCATTCCAGCCTGACCCTTCAGAAGCCAGACCACTGTGGCCTGGAAGTCCGAGTGCAAGCAGAAGTCCTAAGTAACTCCAGGAGTCCACACAGCCTGGGGGCACCCGTCCCGGAGAGCAGGTGCCTTGGAACAGGACAGAGCCCTGTCCCACAACCAACACGACAGCCCCTGGCAATGCTCCAGATGAAGCCAAGAATGGCCACCCCAGACCAGACAAAGGGGCGCCTGTGGCCAAGCCTGGGGAAGGGGAGGCTGGGTTCCCATTGGAAGGATCCCTCTCCCCGGCTTTCCTTCCTGACCTCCATAATGTCTGAGACTACGACCCTGAGTCTCCCTAAGTGGACTCAGAGTCCAGCGGGTGAGGACTCACCTGAGGTGACGGTGACCAGGGTCCCCTGACCCCAGGAGGCTAACCAGCTGTCACATTGTGACAACAATGCCAGGACCCCGGCAAGAACCGATCCCCGGCTAACTATCCGGGACCCTCTAAGACTGAGTCCCGGGAGGGCCTGGGGTGGCCCTGACTACGGAGAGACCCCATTGCCAGGCCCAGGAGGAGGAAGCGTCTGGAGCCCTTGCCCTTTGTCGAAGTGGCCGTGGTGGCCTGGGGCGTTTTCCTGAGCCCCCTGAGGCTGCTCCCAGGCTTTCTTGGTATAAGACCAAGGCACACTCATTTCCCCCCAAAATGCAGCACAACCCCAGAGGAGTTAAAGCAGGGGAGAGGTTGTGAGGACTCACCTGAGGAGACGGTGACCAGGGTCCCCTGGCCCCAGTATTCAAAGTAGTCACATTGTGAGAGGCCCCATTAAGAGGTGTGCAAAAACCCGACTCTCCACCTGTCCTGGGCTGGGTGGCCAGCCCTATGTCCCAAGGTCACCCTGTCCCAGCACAAGCATGTCTCTGCCTTCCCTTCACCCCAGGAGCAGAGTCCTGACCCCCGAAGAAAGGCCATCTGCTGAACGTGGCTCAGGCAGCCCCAGAAGGAGCACCGGAGAGACCCACATGGACCTGCACAGACCCAGGAGCCCCTGGACATTCATCTCTCAGCTCCAGGACAGGAGCTGTGCCCAGAGCAAGGAGGCAGAAGGAAAGCCGTCTTACCTGAAGAGACGGTGACCATGGTCCCTTGGCCCCATACATCAAAAGCATCACACAGGGACACAGTCCCTGTTCCTGCCCAGACACAAACCTGTGCCTGCAGGACGCTCAAATGGGTCACGCTGTGCAAGCACAGAGCAGAGGCGGCCGGCGCTCCTGTCCCCACCCACACAGACCCCAGCTGAGATGGAGGGGAAGTCACCCGGGGAGACGGTGGCTGGGGTGCCCTGGCCCTAGCACTCCAAGCACTGGAAGCCGTACTGAAGCATCGGCCAGGTCCGGGCACATGGACAGCCAGCACCCAGCCTCGGCCCCGGCCCTGCCCACAGCTTCTCCTTCCCGGCCAGCCCTGTCCCTGCCCTCGGCCTGCTTGCCACCTGTGGTGGGACCCTGCCTGTCTTTGGGGGCTCCAGCTGGCCCCAGGGCTAAGTGACAGCAGGGCTCTGGCGTGCAGCCCATGGCGGAGACCCCAGAGATGGTACCTTTGTGGCCTCAGGCCAGACCCGGACTGGCCGCAGACCCCAGGGACCTGGCCTGGTGCCCGGAAAGAGAAGATGGGGAGGGGGCTGCAGGGGGACTCACCTGAGGAGACAGTGACCAGGGTGCCCGAGCCCCAGACGTCAAGGTACCAGTAGCACAGCGTCTGCCCTCCTGCTTCTCCCACACAAAAACATGCTGTCCACCCTCCCGCTGACCCCTCGCTGAGTGCTTGTCCCCAGGTCCAAGGCCAAAGCCCTCGCCTGGCCCAGTGCACCTGGATCCCCACCATCCCCAGACAGCAGAGTCACCCGAGGAGATGGTGACCCGGGTGCCGGGGCCCCAGGAGTCCAAGTAATCAGGCATGGTGAGCCCGCCCTGAGCCCGGGGCTGCAGAAACCCACCGAGGGGTCCCTGGGGACATGGTTTTTGTAGCGCTGCCAATCACCATGTCCCCAGTTAGCACAGTGGTTACCAGCTCAGCCGAAACCCCGCAGCTGGTAGGGGCCCTGCGGGGCCGGGGGGAGGGCCTGGCTGTTGCCCCCAGGTCGGGTTGGGGTCCAGGGGCCCCCAATACCTTCGCCTGTGCTCTCCCCACCACTGTCAGCCCCAGAATAAGCGGCGACTCCCCCTCCCCCTGCCCTCGCAGTCACGCTGGAGTCTCATGCCAATCATTTGCTGTTGCCGAGAGTCTTGAGTGCTGGGTGCCACGTGTGCTTTTCCTTTCCTTTCAGAAAGCAGCACAGGTCTGAGGCCGGGTCTGCCATGCCGCCTCCGAGCCGTCCACTTTTTGAGTTGCTTTCTCAGCTGCAGAGGCCTGGGGGGCCATGGCTGGGGGACCCCCTCACCTGGAGGGCCGCGGACCCCACCAGGGCTCTTTGGAGGCCAGCAGGGCAGGCAGCCTTTCCTGCTCTGATCCCGTCTGTGGGAACCGGTGGGATGCCTGGTTGCTTCTGCCTGTCACCCTCGTGCTACTGAACGGGAGTACTGGTGGCGGGGTCGGGGGGTGGTCGCTGGGCTTCACTCACCACGGCGCTGGGGCACGGGCTCCCTGTGTGTCCGTGAGTGCTGGGTCCCTTCGCTGCACCTCAGCTATCCTCACTGAGGTCTCAGCTCTTCCCGTGGTGGTGCCAGGGAAGGGGCAAAGTGGTCTAAGGAGAGACCCTCCCCAGGCCTGCACTGGTGCCCCCCACCGAGCCTGGGTGAAGGGCTTTGCATGAATCCCCAGCCAGAAGTGGGCCAGATGGGGCCCTCAGGGAGGCCAAGGCCCACAGCCAGGTGTGAGCATGGGGGTGTGCCCTGTGTGGGCCTCTGCTGGGGGTAAACTGAGGGGCAGTGGGTGTCTGGGGGGAGATGAGGTGCCCCTTGCTGGGGAGAGTCTACGTCAGGGCATAGTTCCAGACAGAGGAACAGCCAAGGCAAAGGCCTGGAGGCTGTGGCCTGAGGCTGGAGGAGGCTGGTAGTTTGCTGAGGCTGGGTTTAAAGGGGCCTGAGAGCCTTGAATGGGCTGAGGGTGTGAGGGGCTTTCTTAGGTGCCACTCACGAAAGCTCCCTTAGGCACCGTGCGGACTGGGTTGCTCTGTGCTGTGCTAAAAAATTTTTTAATCCAGTCTACAGAGACCATGTAATGCTTTAACTAACTGAATCAAATCCAAGAACATTTTTTGACCTACCTGATAGATGAAAACTCTGAAACGAAGTAAAAACTAAAAACGCTGTATGGATTGTGTGCCTAACATCTTTTTGAGGTCATATTCCTTCTGTGAACCTCCTAAGGTTACAGAGTCTGTGTGGACTTTCTTTTGTTTCACAGGGTCTTCTAGTTCAAACCTTCTTTGTTTCGAAAATAGAAGGGTGGTCTTAATTTGACTCCAAAGACCCTATTCTAAAAAACAAAAAGTAGGGGAAATAAATAAATATCTGTTGATTGATTAATAAGTGACCTGATTTTAGGAGAAGCAGTGAGTAATAACCCTGCTTTTAAGAAGTTATTACTGGACAAGCTCTAGTCACTTTTAGCTCATGCCCTTACCATGCTGGTCCACTTTCTAGTCCCTCTGAATTTATGTCTCATGTGAGCCAGCCCTTATGGGCTGTCCTTCTTGAGTGAACCTTGAAATTATCTTCTCACCAAAACTCACATATTTTGTCCCCCCACACCCTCCTGTTTTTAAGAACAAATGAATCCATGCTAATATAATAACAAATGTTCCGAAAGCAGTCTTTTCCAAGTAACACCAACATTGCGTGTGGGCTTTTGGGAAACAGTTCATTATCTCAAATTAATAACTCTCATTGTCAACATTGCACATATTATGGCAGGTTTGGGGAAGAGTGTGCATGTTTTCATCAGGTGGGCCTTTCAATGAGCCTCAAAAAATCATTCATGCCTTTTTCTGTACACATACATGCTTCCATTCTGTTATTCACTAAAGCTGTATTATAATTTTTTATTCATGTCATTAACTTCTCACTAAACTGAGTTTTTTGACATTATGGCCATGCCTTATTATTTGCCAAGCCAAAGATTACTTGCAGTAGAGTTGATTTACAATAATTAGCAATTCATTTACCTTGAAATAATGGGAGGTATCTGGTTTATCACTGGCAAGCAAATGGTTACCTTGTATACCAGGAACAAATTAGGTGGACCTCCGAGTGGTTTAAAAATCACTTTTAAAGAGTTGGTTTATAGAGATTTAAAAATAGCACTAAATGTGTCACAAGATCAAATTGATACATTTATATCTACGTATTCTCATCTGATAATTCACAGAATGTATGGACTGCTACATTCCATATGTTGTACAGAAAAAGGCATGAATGATTTTTTGAGGCTCATTGAAAGGCCCACCTGATGAAAACATGCACACTCTTCCCCAAACCTGCCATAATGTGTGCAATGTTGACAATGAGAGTTATTAATTTGAGATAATGAACTGCTTCATTTCCCAGGTCAGGAGCAACGCAGAAGCACGCCACTGCTGCAGCTGATGAACCGACGCCGTGACAAGTTACCAAGGGGAATAAAAAGATTTAAGTGAAAAGAAACACTTTCCCTGCTAGCACCCTATTCCTACCCTAAGAGGACGGGGGGAGTGAGGGAAGACCTGAGGAGGGTCCTCTTCCCTGGCATGGAGCTTGACATTTTGTCCCAGAGGAAACAGTGGAATTTGCCTGGGGTGACTTTTGCTCAAGTTTCTTCAGCTTTTCTCATTTTAAATGTAATAATATTCATGAGCTGTAGAGAGCTGAGATTTATCTTGGGGTCCAACTTGGAAGTCTCTTCCTTTCAATAGGCTAGCGGAGACCATTCCCATGCGTTGTTTTCATAGATGTATTTGGCTTCAATCCTATCTTAGTAGTTTATGTTTTCTATTTTTATACTTCTAAAAAAGTTTTCCATCTAAAGTTTTCTTGTTTCTGGCTCTCTTCTGTGTGTAGTGGCTAACTTCGTAACTTTCTGAAATATTCTTTGCTCTTTTTTGGTCAACATACTTTAGCTCTTTACTATACACAAGGATGAAATGACCTGGTTCCTCTTCCTTTGCCCTCCATCTCTAGCATCGTATGATTGTAGTCAGTAATATTATTTTTCTTAGAATGTGTTTGTGCTGTCTAATATGCTCAATTTGGTTTTACTGAAGTCCTTTGGCCGAGAGTTATTTGGAGCAAGGCAGTGATTCCGAAGTGCTCTCTAGCTCCCATTCTGTGTGTTGATCACTGTACAAAGTTCACCTTGTCAGAGCAGACGCCGTTTCCCGCTTGCTTCACGTCTGCTGAGCCCGCACAGTGCCCCCCACCCCCATCATTTCTGTCTTATCCTTGCAGTTAAGGATGCTTAATATTTACTGCTGGTTCTCGGCTCTGGTTTCTCCATCACCTTTTGATGGCTGGTGGTCTTTCTCCGGTAGTTTTATCATGAAATGATGGAGTGTTGATGCTTGGAACTCTTTCTCAGCAGCCTTTGTTCTTGAAGAACAGTTGGCTGCATATGGCTCTGGATTATCAGCCACCTCTTTCCCCCGTGAGGACCCAACAGGTATTGTCCTACCAGGTACTCATGTTGAAGGTGGCTGTGAGAAATCTGGGGCCAGCCATCGACCCCCTTATAGATGATTGTGTGTGTGTTTTATTAGAATTTTTTTGAATTTTTGTCCAAATTAGTTCTTCTAAAATTAATTACCAAAAGTAATAGAACAGAAAGCATACTTAAATCTACAATTTCAAAAAATCCGTCCTGAAATAAAACAGCATCGCCCACGTATTGGTAGGGCGTACTGACAGCCAGAGAAAATTGGTTCCGAATAGCAGCTCCCGAGCTGTCCACTAGCAAATGCGCCGGACTCCATTCTCTCTTCAGGGACTCAGGTTATGTCAATGCCATCTCTTCTTTGTCTGTCTTCCATATCTTCCATACGTGTCACCTCTTCTTATATATTTTATTTTACAGAATTTTTATGGGTACATAGAAGGTGTATACATTTATGGGGTGCATGAGATGTTCTGATCCAGGCATGCAACATAAAATAGTTACATCAGGAAAATGGAGTGTCCAGCCCCTCAAGCATTTGTCCTTTGTGT